TATGTTGTAGCATTGTGGTGAGGAATATACGGGGTGTTATGCGTCCCGAGTCGCCGGAGGCGGGGTGGATAAAACCTAACGAGGGACTCATAAAACCCCGTTTACTCCGAATCATAATGCCATAAGGAATTAATCTTACAGAATGTTTAAAGCTCTTATTATGTAAATACAACATTAGAACAAACTGAAACTCAGTCATATATTTTACTAACATGATACTAACTAGTCGACCCGAACCACTGGTTCACGGTTCACTGACTGCCGTGAATCCAGATACACAGATGTATGGATGCAAATAGATGGATGGATGGATGGATGGAAATTGTAAAACTTAAAGATGAAAATTATGTTCACAATTGTGTGAAATAGGTGTACAAAATTGGTGTACGAAAAATGAATGAAAACAAAAAATGAACACTAATAAATGACGAATAATAGTCCAGTAACAATGTGTGCTGAAGTGTGTAAGTAGCTTGTGTACTTTTAACATATCAAAAGTATAGAAAAGTATCATGCACGATTTTGTTCACCTAATTGATAAGACAAGCGTGTTCAGTGTCGTTTAACTGACCTGATCCACTCTGTTACAAAAATAATGTTCTAGTCTTAATATTTGATTATCCATTCAGTGGGAATTCTTGATCGTTAAATGACTATATCACTCCACGATTTTGCTACAAACAGGAATAGGACAATTTGTGCTCATTGCTATTGTGGTATGGAAGATTCATGTGGCCAAAGTACTGAATATATTCCTTGAATAAATAACTGTGTCAATTTCAATAGCATCATAGTCGTTGATCACGGCCGATTGTCAAAGTGCACAAATCAAAATACAAGACTTAAATATAATTCAGTAATAATCCTTAACTTAATAAGTTAGAAAATAAGTTTGCAAAGTATATAAAGAATGCGCTTCTGACAACGCCCCGTTAACACAATAATATTCACTTTAAGGCTTTGGGGAAACATGTTATAATAAAGGTGTCTCTAAAAATTACCCTTTATATTTTATTTGTGGTGAATGTGCTATTGAACAAAAGCCAATTATGTCATACTGACTGAACTATTAATGGTACCGGTTCATCAACATAGAAAGTCTTTGTTCTGTATTTATTGCAGGCAAAAGTGCACACTCATATGGGACATACCACTTTAATGAAATGTTGACAGCAGTAAAATTGCGAACCACTGGTGCGTAAAGTTGATTATATACGTCTGTAGGCGTTATTCCCTGGAGGCATTAGTAGACTCCGCATTGGATATTTATTCACGTCTCGTCTCAACATGATACAAAAACGAAGTACATAACAAATATATCACAGTAAACAGTTGAGTCATTACGTACGGAATTATTAGAGACACTTGCGCCAAACTATATTCAGAGTATAATATATGAACATTACAAACATGACAAACATCTTCAATAAAAGCTTTACAGTAAAAGCAAATTCTTTCAGTTAAAGATCACATATCCTCTAGGGGGATACAAATACATAAATCACTAATTGGAAGCGTTATAAATGAAACCCCGTCATTAAAACTACTCATTTCGATCTTTAATTAAGTTAAATCGACCTTTTTGACAACAGTGCACAAATTCTCACCCACAAACGAAATGTCAACCAATCAGAGCGGCGCGTATCTGTGACGTCATATGGGGAATATATGAGGGCCGATGCACAATTCATGTACATTTCAGGGGGTAAATTATCTTGTTTACAGGTTTGTATAAACCTGAAATCGTGACAACTGTTGTGAAAAATGAAAGCTATATGTTTTCACAATCTACTGTCATTTAATTTTGTCTCTTGCTTTGCCTAGTTTCCGAGTTACAACTTGTTTTCATAGACGATTCTGTCAAAATCGCTTGGTGTCGCTGGGCCTCATTTGTTCGATCCAGACGCTAGTGATAGCGAAAACGATGATCAGCCTCGCTCATCACGGTTACGGTCAATTTCTTCCACCTAAACAGTGCGACATTAAGAAGGGTGGATGCCCATCAGATGCAGATATTTGAAAATATCCCCGGTAGTTCTTGTCTGATTGTAATAAAGTATCAAAGCAGTGTGGGCTTTTTCAGGTTTTCTAATGCCTGGGTGGTATAATGAATGATCCAAGTTGATCCCATTTCTGTGTTTTTTAACTTCGATATTTAATCATGTCATGTAAAAATATGACGTCTATTACGTATGATATTAAAATTGACATTTGATTTATTTGAATGCGTAAACTAAACAACCCTACTTTGCCATTGCTAGAAGAATCTGAAAATTGACTTAGGTAAATAGGTACATACAGTTTTAGCACACAGCAAATGCTTATATGTATTTCTTGATGCAACAATGAAGTTCTGTTTGTATTCTCAAAACAGTGTCGGCCCATAAGTTTTCATATGCAATTAAAATTGCATGCAATACAGCAATTAATGCTCCCTTGTTGTAACCTGTGTTAGGTGGAATAAACCTACACATGTTATTTGTCATCATTCACTTGACGGTCAGTTAATGAATTTATAACAGGTATAATAAGTGGTAACACCATTAGATTACCCGACAAAGGTTCCCATTTGGCATTTCTTGTGTCTGGAGTAAATACTCAACATTATAAACATCGAAGTACATAACAAATATATCACAGTAAACAGATGAGTCATTACGAGAATTATGAGAGACACTTGTGCCAAACTATATTCAGAGTATAATATATGAACATTACAAATACAATCAAAAAGGTTACAATGTACACTTAGAAGATATATACAAATTTGCAGTACGTTTTTAAAGAATATTAAGGCAGGTTTTGGTAGATAGAAAGCATACATCAGTGTGGAATAAACCTAACTTTTTCAACATTCCCCAGATTTAAAACAAACATCTAAAAGACTTGTACATGTAGATAAAAGTTGCAATAGCTCATCAGCATACAGAGGACAATGCAATGAAACATGACACTCATCTTCAATAAAATCTTTACAGTAAAAGCAAATTCTTTCAGTTAAAGGACAACCAACGTAACGGCCAGTTTCGTTTCTAAGCGACGCTACCCCACATCTAAACAAAGCCAATGCTTTTCTCATAGAACGCAACTTGTTACAATTAGCATAGAATCCAACTAAAAAGTACAGTAGTGCGTAACTACCAGTTAATTAACTACCAATCAATCTTTATTATCTTTTTAACCACCCACGGTGGTACAAGAGCATTGGATATATATTGCACATATATTTGATAACATTGTTGGAAGGTCCTTGCATAATTTACAGTTTCTGCGTAGCTTTAGCACTTGCATGCTTGACAACGCTCTGGATTTGGTTAAACGGCTGCTCGTGAATGCACAGATGACTCGGGAACAGTACCACGCCACATTCGTCAGCACTCGCCCCTTTCCGTAACCTCCATGAAGGTTCGGCTCATTTGTCCCGGAATAACACGAGTTGTCACGAATGTACCACGCAACTGTATCCCATTATGTGGGCCTGTAGATGTATATGACATGTATTGCAAATGTTATTGCGTTAACTATGTAAATTTCTTTACAATGTCATTTGATGTTCACGAACAAATGTATTACTTTCATTGTCCAGACTTAGTCAATTTTATAATGTAATTATTAATGAATGACATATGTCCGTTGCTCTGCAAGAATACAATGTCTCTTAATTGCCCATCCTTAAAGTACATTCTTACATATTGTTTAAATGTCCACTGATTTCCATTTTATTGCCTATTGTTGTTTTCAACAATAAAAACAAATTGCACATCTACGTTTTCTTTCATTTTCCTTAGTAATACAAATACCCTTCATTACTAACCCCTGCATGTAAATTGTACATTTAAACTTGATACGACCCGTGCTTGTAACAACAGCGGATTAGTTCAGCAACCGTAACGTGCCGGCATTCAGAGACTAAACCGCTTTTTCTCAAAGTCTCAAAGGCAATTAAGAGTCTTTCGGAAAAAGCATAAAGAGCCACGTTTCCATTTTCATACCTATCCAACAATCACAAATACGGCCAATCGATTGCCAACTAAAACTTTTGATCTTTTTGATCACTGCGTCTTACCAATCCTGCTTTACAGTTCGGAATAGTGGGGCTATGAAAATTCAATCATCTTGGAAAGAATTATTCTTCAAAATGTTGGGCTCTACTATATTTGGCATTCTCAAATTTCCTCATCATCCACTGGTTGAAACATCATGTCAAAATTTCATTAACTTGACCAGTTTAAACAATCTGGCATGCCGATGCTCAAAATTCATCTGAAGGAAAATAGTATCATTTACATAAAACCTCACTTACTTTAGAACCTTATCTTTCAGAACTTCCATCAAAGTTTCCTATCTGGTTAATAAAATTATGAACTTCAGATCATAGATCACCTATTGAAACGGGAGGATGATTTGATATTAATCTAGAAAACAGAACATGCACAATTGTAAACGTAATGTTATTTGTGACGCGTTTCATGTTATTTTATCATGTACACATCTTAATGTTGAACATAAGAAAATACTTCCCTCTTCTTTTTGCAATAATCCACATATGGAAAAATAAACCTCACTTATGAAATCAGATTATACCCCACCCCCATTGCAACTATCACTGTTTGCTAAAACTGTTCTTAGTTTTTTCTAAACCAATATTTCCACTTATATGTTATTGAATTATAAACGATTGCATGTTCTTTATATCATTTTGTATGGTTGAAGAGAATAAATTCTGTTATGTTCTGTTCTGTTCTGTTCTGTTCATTTTCCATGGGGCGGGGTATACATGTAAATGATTTATTCTCCCTCGCAAAGATTTATACCCGCTCGGGCGGTGTACGGCCGTGCACCGGGCATACATGATAATCTGCTCAAGGTCACGTGAACCAATCAGAGACGGACATTCTTACACGAGGTAGGATTATCTTGATTGCAACATTTCGTCAAGGCGATAAGGCCGTTGCCCTGATCACAGCGTCAGAAGGGACGACACGCTCACGAACGTCAGGATGCAGGTAAAGTCTGCACATGTCTTCAGAATTCTGAACATTGTGTGCATGTGTTTTGTGCTGGTATACGTGTTCTGGTTCTCGTTCTCGCCAAGAACCAACACAGCCGTAAGGTATCCAAAACCGAACCCAAGGTGAGTTGTATTCATCTGCGATATCTTTTGACAGTTGAGGCTTCATTTTTATTAAGTAAAAGACAAATATTATGGATGTCAATTTCCTCTTTATTGTATGTCTGAGATGTGAAATCACCTGACGAAGGGTCAAGGAATATCCCAGAAACGTTGTGACATACAATAAGGAAGAAGTTGTCATCCATAATATTTGTCTTTTACTTGAATACCAACTTCTACATGCCTCTCAAGAACTTCATTTTGTATGTTACGTGTGGTACCCGCTTACTGGATGGGAAAATCCCCGATACCCGTGAAGATCCGGGTTAGAATTGATCTTCAGCAACTCATACTTGTCGTGAGAGGCCACTAACGGGATCGGGTGGTCAGGTTAGCTGACTTGGTTGACACATGTTATATATCGTATCCCAATATATTGTATATTATAATGTGGTGATAATGCATAGTGTATATATAGTGGACTCACTCTAAACCGACAGTCCACTAATCCGACGTTCCCTGTAAGACAACATGTTTATTTGGTCCCGAATTTGTCCCTATAAAATATCAAATAAGAAACTCCCTCTAACATCCTTCTATTCCGAATTCCGATACCCGAATCCGGCCCCAAGATATGTTTTCAGTACAAATTAACACTCTCTTTACAGACACACAGACACTTTATTCGGTAACATACGGCCTTATGGCCCATTTAATAGTTAATATATAATGTATTTATAGAGTTACGTGAGCACAAATTGAAGTAATTATCTAGCAATGAATATATGGAACACACAATGCCATTTTAGAAAGTAGTCAAATGTAACATATGTTAAGTGTAATACCAAATATAACATATGTAACAATGAATATATGTTTTAACAATGCTGCAACTGTATGTATAACAAGAGGATTTACCGACACTGTAAGTCACAAGAGTATATTTCACATAGTATGTAGTTAGCAATCAACACGTTAGGGTTAGAGGTGGCCTGAAAAGGCCTAATAGGATTAACCGTTAAATACTTGCTAATTACTTGACCAGTGAGTTCATAGATTGGTAAAATCACATAACAAGCGCTTGTTATGATTCATTGACACTGACATTGACACTGACATTAACACTGTTTCAATTTAGCATGAGTATTGACAGTCAGTGTCACCAACACATATAATAATCATCATAATGAAAAGTCATGGTCAGTTACTGCACTACAAGTCACAATGGCTACTCCTAAGAGAGCAGGGACTGAGTTAACCCCAGAGGTCAAGCAGAAATTGTTACAGGACCACCAGGACTGAATTCTTTGTTCATCATTAAATATTAATATTTTTATCATTTGTTATTACACAGAGGATGTTTGTAAATAAAGAGGCATTGATATAAAGATAAATTTCACTGTGTCTGTTTAACTTTGTGTGTGGTTTCCTTTTTCATTGAGTTTCTAATAAACCTGTAAACCGACATTCCTCTAAGCCGTCATTTTTTACCCGTTCCCAGCGATGTCGGTTTAGAGGGAGTCCATTGTATACATATGCTCATACTGTTGATTACTGGATTGTCTTATCCAGACTCGATAATTTACAGACTGTTGCCATATAGTTGGAATATTGCTGGGTTCGGCGTTAAATAACAAAAAGAAATAATATATATATAGAGTGCAATACACACGTTCGTTGTATTTTGCAGGGTGATAAACAAGTTCAGGACAGTTCGGTCAGATAGATGGATAGTTGTGACTACCATTTCCTACCCAACTCCGGACATCAAGTTCCTGGCAAAGATACCCGGGTGGAAGGTCGTTGTTGTTGGGGACACCACAACACCAAAGGACTGGAGGTAACCATCTTTATTTGTTATTCGCCAACCTGTGAAGATCCGAGTTAGAATTGATCTTCAGTAACCCATGCTTGACTCAACACGTGAAGCTCCGAGTTAGAATTGATCTTCATTAACCCATGCTTGTCTCCACCCGTGAAGATCCGAGTTAGAATTGATTTTCATTAACCCATGCTTGGCTCCACCTGTGAAGATCCGGGTTAGAATTGATCTTCACTAACCCATGCTTGGCTCCACCCGTGAAGTTCCGGGTGACAATTGGTCTTAGGTAACCCATGCTTGTCTCTACCTGTGAAGATCCAAGTTAGAATTGATCTTCAGTATCCCACGCTTGTGGTAAGAAGCGACTAACGGGATCGGGTTATCAGGCTCGCTGATTTGGTTCACACATGTCATCGTATCCCAATTGCGTAGATCGACGGTCGTGCTGTTGATCACTTGATTGTCTGGTCCAGACTCGATTATTTACAGACCGCCACCATAGAGCTGGCATGTTGCTGAGTACGGCGTAAAACTATACTCAACCAATCAGTGTTATTCGCCACACTTACCAGTATTCCAGCTATATGAGGGCGGTCTGTTAATAATCCTGTCAGTATCTAAACATCTGACACGATGATCCAAACAAATCAGAGCCTGGCTCTCGACCCCGTCCGTCGCATCTAACGACAAGTATTGCTTGCAAGAGAGCATTTTTTTTCCCATTCTTTCTATTGTATTCAGTGCCACTCCATACCGTTTTCACACAAAGCTAAATAGGCAAGGAAGTGCAATTGTAAATGAGCAATTCCAATTTCGAGGTGTGATATAATTACAAATATAAAACATGTTATTTATTGAATCATGGATCACTTCAAAGAGTGCTCAAAGTGGTACTGTGAGATCAGCATCACCTTCTGCCCTACCCCGGCGTATTAAGTTATCACGCCATGATATAATGACACGGTGTTCACAATGGTGTTAAAACTGGACTCACTCACTCACTGTAGACCTAACATGGAATACATCTGGTTACCTCAACGTTTGACATGGATTAACTTCACAAAGTTTGCTGAATATCTGAGATGATGCATAGGTATTGCGTGGTTTTACAGAAATATTCAAATGAAGTTTCGTACATGGATACCATTTTCGCAAAAGCAAGGAATGAGTCAAATATTGGTGTTTATGATAAATCTTGCTCTTTTCAGGTACCCTAACTGTACCTTTCTGAGCTTGGACGATCAGCATGGACTTGGTTTTGAGACAACCCCACATCTTCCAGAACGGAGCTATTCCAGGAAAACAGTGGGGTATCTGTTTGCAATAGCCCATGGCGCTAAAGTTATTTATGAAACTGACGATGACAACCGCCCTCTTGATTTACTAAAACATTTTGTTCTGGATCCAACAATGTGGGGTCTCCTGTATAAAGGAGAAAATCTCTTCAACCCTTACCGCCATTTTGGACAGCCAACACTATGGCCAAGAGGCTACCCACTTGGTTCTGTTGGAGAAAATATCACTCAAGAGTATGAGCTGAGTCACTGGAAAACTCCGTCCATACAGCAGGGCATTGTGAATGGCGACCCGGATATGGATGCCATTTTTAGACTGACCCGGAAACAAACCCATTCTCAGCTCAATGTGACCTTTGATGACCGAGCTCCACCAGCAATTGTTCCAGCTGGGGTGTTCTCTCCCTTTAATTCCCAGAATACCCTTTTCCTCTATGATGCATTATGGGCTCTCTTGATTCCAACAACAACCACGTTCCGAGTATGTGACATCTGGAGAGGCTACTGGGCCCAGAGACTTCTTTGGGAGATGGGAGGAAACTTGGGGTTCTTTCCTCCGAATGCTTTCCAAAAGAGGAACTCACACTCCTACCTCAGTGATGCAAAGGACGAAAAATATCTATATTTCCTAACAGAACGCCTTGTAGATTTCCTATCAAAATGGAGATGTTCTTTGAATAAGACATTCTTTGACTGTATGGTTGAATTGTCAACCGCCATGGTCCAAGAGAACTTTTGGCGGGAAAGGGATGCACGTCTGACGTATCTCTGGATCAAAGACCTGAAAGCGCTTGGGTACAAGGAACCGAAAAGAATTCCATTTGGTTTACTTAAGGAAGGTGCAATGTTCCAGAATTATTCAAAGTTGCCATATCAAACTGATTTGACGACACAGCAGTTCAATGTCACATTTTGGGCAGCTGAACAGACACCACCAGTGATGTATTCCACAGCTAAAGCATCACCCGCATTTACATCACAAATGAGTCAGATCATTTCCTATTGTAATCATCAGTTGGTTGGAGCTTCTACAGTGCCCAAAACTAACCCCAATCTTCTTTTAATTGTCGTCTTTAATTGGCCCTACTACCAGAACCTTGGGTTTCTAGAGACTATGTATGGCAGGCATTTCCCGCATATCGTCTACTGTGGAATAAACAAAGATCTATTTGACGCACACGCTAAACTCCTGGGCAAACCATTGTCCTTCATAGAGATTGATATTAGTGATGGATGGTCTGGTCATCGGTGTTTAATACAAGCAATGAAACTGCAGTTCAGAGTTGATGGCTATTTGTACATTGGGGATGACGTGTTGCTTAATGTGTGGAATATTCATGTCTCTCCTCTTAACAGTCTCTGGGTTTACCATTCGACAGGTGTAAAACAGTCTAAGCCTTTGAAATGGGATCGTTTAGAAGACCCCAAGGTGGGTCTGAAAGCGTACCAAGCTGCTCTTAAAGCTTTGAAATTAGTAGACGCACAGAGGTATACTTCATTCACACAAATGCTTTCGAAAAATTCCGGACAGAATGATGGTTTCTTTATTGGTGCGTCAGACATCGTATACGTTCCTGTACAATACAAGGAGGACTTTTTATATTACATGGAACATTTTTCAAAATTCAATTTATATCTTGAGATAATATTTCCAACAGTCCTTCGTGGAATAGAAATGTTGAAAAATGTTTATGTGATGCCTGGAACATATATTTTGGACGGACCTGTCAACCAAACAGAAAAGTATTTTGACAAAATGCACCTTTTTATTCATACTGTTAAACTATCCAAATTAATTCCTAGCCCTGAAGGAAAGAAATTCTTTTGCGAAAAGTTCTTCCCCTTAACACTATATGGATAAGATGAAGCGTGTCCACGGACTAGTTTGCGTGAGTAAGTGACAACATCTGACAAAAATCCATTAACGCGTTATGTAATATATTTATGATTATAACTTACCCTTTTAACTCCATGTACACACCTCACTCATCCCTATATTGACATTTAGCCGCTCCCCTATTGATGGGACCATGCTTAAAAAGAATTTAAGAAGAATTTCTGCATCATATACACAGTCTGCGCTGTCCCGAGCTTGTGGCATGTACCAACCAAATATATGATTCGTCATTGCTAATGTCACATGGGTACAATGTGTGAAGCCCATTTCTGGTGTCCCCCGTCTTGATATTGCTGGAATGTTGCTAAACGCTGAGTAAAACCAAACTCATTCACTCACTCATTGCTAATGCTCTTCATTGGTGATATATTGACATGTTGTATGGACTATTAGAGGATTCTGGAATGGTTCTAAGTCGATCTATACATTGAAAGAGATATAAATTTCCTTACCAACTACAGACAACTTTTGGAACACATCACATTGTCAATTCGAATGCAAGTCTATGAAATTGGCGGAATATGTGTCTGTGTGACGTAAAGGTATTCCTTGGTTCAAGACAGTGTTGTAAATATGTTTCTTTGTTCTTGTTTATTTATGACTTAAACATTCTAGCTGTATGTGGGCAGGTTGTACATAATCAGGTTAGCAAATTCGTGAAATCATAACTTTGTCGCACTGAAAGCTTGGGCCCGTTCCACGAAGCGATCGTAGCGCTAATATGATCGTAACTCCCATGCTTTATCATCGACTTACGGCAGTTGTAGCGCTAAGGTGATCGTAACTCTCATGCTTTATTATCGTAACTCTCATAACATGATCGTAACTCCCATGCTTTATCATCGACTTTACGACAGTAGTAGCGATAACATTATCGTAACTCCCATGCTTTATCATCGACTTACGACAGTCGTAGCGATAATATGATCGTAACTCCAATGCGTAAGCAGTGTGCGAAATAGCCACTGGCCCGCTAGCCCGTGCCTAGTAAAAATCCAGTCGGGCCAGTAAATTTCCGCACTCACTGGCCCGACTGGCTAGTGAATTTTCATTGGGTCAATTATTAAATATATCACTCTCTCCGACGTGCTAAGTTGTAATACACTTTTTAATCATGCTAGATTATGGCCTCAAAAAATGTTCATCATATTAGCAGCTTAATGATGAAACCCTTGTCATTCTGACAATATCTTGTTCTGATCTATGTTTGTAATCTTTTGCTTAGTTTCTACATTCAAATTTCAGGCTAGTGAAATATTTTGTGGGCTAGTAGCTTTCAGGCATAGCTTGCCCGACTGGCATAATTTGGGAAACTATTTCGCACACTGTAACTAAGTCCCAAAAGACTCAAAGTAATTTTTTTATAATTTATGACCAGATTATCTAAAATTGCTAGCAGCAATGGATGATGTAAATCCAGCTAGGGTCCATGCAAGAAGCAAATGAACTGTAAGTCCCCATATTTATGTTCGTATCTGTGATATTCTGGTTGTTTTTACTGTTGACAGACTTTATATAATTTGTATGCATTAATGGAGAATTTAGAACTTCACGAAATGGCTGAAATATTGCCGATGTAACTGCAAATTCTTAACTCACTTAAGGCTTAAGGTTTTTATTGTTGAAAACTGAATTTCTCAACAACAAAAAACAAAGCAAAAAAAAACAACAACAAAAATCCCACTTGAGTGAGATACTCCCAATGTCGCTAAACTCAGAAATGTTCTTTAACATATTCATACAAACATTTAAACTATGGTGCGTTTTTGTGAACATATTGTTATGCATTTAAGACTACGTTATTAGTTTATTATTATTTATTTAACAGCATCCAGACAGTGCGATAGAGACTGTTTGTAAAGTGTGACTACTCCTACAACAGAAGCTAGTATCTAAATTTGTGGAACACCTGCTTGGGTTGTCAGTCCAGATTCGAAGATAAGTCATTATGCAGGTATACTCATGAGTATATATTGAAAGGTGCAGATCCTCCGTTTTGTATCCTTTGTGATGAAAGAATCATCATCCTCCTTTTTGACGTATATATGGCCACGAGGCCAACAGTACAACAAGTGTAAAACAGTAAGGTAAAGACATGTATATGCGCCACACTGAGAATGTAGATCTTATTACAATTGATACGATTGTGTGTTCACAGAGATTTTTTGTTTCGATGGAAGTACAAACACCTCTTTAAGAAACATACAAAGTCTTAATAGTCTTGATGAAAGAATCACGGTCAAGCATGTCCTGCCTGACTGTATTGAGTACCTCCATTGCAAGGTGTAAATATTTCAGAGTTAAAACTGATAAGGATCTTTTTGATAATGTTAATTACCATTTTGAATTCGAATTTGTAATGAAATTGAATTGATTGATAAATTTTGATTCGTATGCTTTGAAGATAAATTTATTTTTCATAATTGGAAGTTTAAATCAGCAGCTGAGATTTTTAGTGGCTGTATCCTGAAAGGGGGTTAAAATATTGTAAAAAAAAGTACTGTCTCCCTGAGAGGATACGTAAGTCCCAAAACATTCAAAGTCAATTTAATGTCTCCACTCTCTGTAACAGTAGAACATGTGTCCTTTTAATGTATGGCTAGATTTGTCTAAATTGCTAACCGCTGGAGGCATTGTGTAAATCCGGCTAGGGTCCATGCAGGAAGCAAATGTACTGTGAGTCCCCATGGTCTCTACATTGGTGATCTACCTTCAGTTATTGGTGATCATTAGCACGTTTTTATATTGTATTGTTCTCTGTGATAAATATCGTTTTATGATACCATCCTAGGTTTACTCTATTATCTGTGATACACTAGTAGTTTTACAGTTCTTCGTCAACAGGCTTTTTATTTCTTTTATTGATTTATTTTCTTGAAGGACATGCCTCGTTATGTAATTTTAAATAAAGCTCGGGCAATCATGGTAATCATTTGATTTCGCCTTTTTAATACTTCCAGACTATTATCTTTTTAATACTTCCAGACTATTATCTTTTTCATTACTTGTTTTCCCCTTTCAATTTCAATTTCTCAATGGGTACAATGGGTTATATCCCAAAACTTCCACATCCCAATACTACCACACACTGTTAAAACAACAACTCCTCATCACCCCTTTATAGATAATAGGATAGCCCGGCATGTGCACTGAACTGAAGCAACAGCATCACCTGACAGAGTAGAGTTTTAGTAGAGAAGAGAACAGCTAGTTAATAAATCTGAAATATAAATTCGTGCATATTAAAATGTAAATTTTGTTTTCTTGTTTTACATTGAAATATTGTAAATTATGTTCATATTATTCTGCATATACAAAACATAAATTATGCAAGCTTAACGTACATTTAATATACATGTATATTCAAATGTGTGAAGCCCATTTCTGATGTCCCCCGCCGTGATAAGGCTGGAATAGTGCTAAAAGCGGCGTAAAACTAAATTCAGCCAGTCAATTCCTCATCGCTATTATTGGTGCAATGTTGGCTGTTCATTGACCTGGATGTGATTTCTGTTAATAAATGAGTTTGAAAATGATTTTGTAGTTTTGTTATCTTATATTGAAATATTTACAAAGACGTTTGTTCCAAAACATGTGTGTTCCTCAGATAGGCAGGTCTACACATAAGCAGACCTTATGTTCAATTTATTTATATTCAAGATGTTAAATTATGCCGAAGTTTCTGGTCTCAATTTACCTGAACCATTTGAGCCTGGCGAGGATAGAGTCAAACTCATCATCACTGATTTCATCCTGTCCTGGCGTCCTGTTTAAAACTGCCGATTGTAAACATTTCGAAATCCATGATATCTGTTGTGTTGAGATCAGTCATGTTGGTAGCCAAACGGAGGTAATGCAAAATTACTGTGTACGTGCGCAGTGAAATATTTTTAGGACTTAGCAGTCCTCCAGCTGTTTGGCGGCGGCCTGTGAATAATCGACAAGATTAACAGGATAAGCATAGGTGTACACAGCTTGGATATAATGGCTTGCATCAGCCAAGCCAGCGAGCCTGACCACCCAGTCCTGTTAATCGCCTCTTACGACAAGCATGCATGGGTTGCTGAAGATGAACTCTTTCACGGGCGCGACGCAGTGAAATAAAGGATGCACAAGGTCCAAAAAGATGACTTTCAAGAAAGAATGTTGAATTTTCAAGATAGAGTGTTGAATTTTCAAGATACAAGATGCTGAATAATAGCGCGTAGCGTGGCACTAATAGGCTTCCGTACGTTAGCACTTACAGCTGACACGTGGTTTTCCAAAGTATGCTTAGCGACCATACTGCTAATTCCTTGAAGCCTTTTAAACAATGCTTGAGTCATGGACAAGAGTAAACCATGAGCTCGATGAATTTAACATTTAACAAATCCCCCGGCCCCCACAAATTTGAAAGAACCAATCATCTGCCAGTTACTTTAAGTCCAGCTTGATGAGTGAATGTCTGTCTAATATGTCCACCCGTTCCCAAGAGGTGTTATTGAGCTATCAAACCAATAACATGCAATTAACATTGTACTTCTATGTCAGGTACACACAAATATTAAAGTCAAATTGAAAAACATACAAATTTTAGATATACCTAATAGCAAAAGGCAGCCGTTAAAAACCTGTTTTTTGTTTATCCACAGTTTCATGAAAGAATACATAGCACTCTATCACACATTGTACTCTTTCGAGATATGGTCCTGAGGCACAATCAAATTTGCTGCCATGGAAACGGACAAAACTTAAATTCTTAACAGCCCAGGCAGCACAGGGCACCATTTGACAACCTGGTTTTTGTGTGCAAACATTTTATTAAAAAAAGAATACCTAATAGTTTTAGAGATATGGGCAGAACAAATACACCACTATGAACAGAGTCAAAGTCAAACTGTTTGATGTATCTGCCGAGTTTTGTTGAAACATATGGAACGGTAACGGAAAATCGTTTCCATGGAAATATTGAGAAATATAAATACAAAAGTCTACAAATTGCAAAGGGAACCACTTTAGTCTTTGGTTAATACGTGTACCAGGTTTGGATGAAAAATCATGAATACGCTGAGAAAATATGAAGGAACTCAGAAACGTTAGACTGGAATATCCCTACTGAAGTTAACTGTAAGCACAATGTTTAAGTTTAAGGTTGATTATCCAACCTCATGTAAGAATTCCATCTCTGATTGGTTCACGTGACCTAGGACACATTACCATGTGTGCCCGGTGCACAGTCGTACACCGCCCGAGAGGAGTATAAATCACCACTGAAAATGACTGTATTACCCAAATTTAATAAGGGATCGTTCATAATTTCTGGCGGGGTGGGTGTGAGTAAGAAGAAGAAGAGGAAATGATGATTTTACATGGAGAAGCACGTACAATGTGAATACCCCTGCATATCATGTACAAAGTCAATGACCCCCTCCCCTTTCCATATTTTTAAAGCATAACTTTTTAATATTTTTATGTACAAAATTGATGACCCCTACCTCTCCAGAACAAAATGGGTGAACCCCTTAAATCCCCCTTTCCCTCCTAGCCATAAATTATGAACTGTCCCTAACGTTAGGAAATATAAGTTTCATCCAGCGGCCATATGAACAACGTTTGAAATCTATGTATCATATGGCTGTCAGATTTACACACGTTTAATGGGGTGTTAATATAGACGAACGCTCAACTCTGCATTTACATGTATTTACCAGGTATGTAAATCTGGCCATTGTTTTCATGTGTTTTCTAGCATGTGTAACATAATGTAAATGCTGTGATTGTGGGACATGCCTTTCAATACCTTTGAACTCTCTTATGACCGGGGTTAGGTTTGTCATATACATGTATTAAACTCGTAAATGGTTGGTAATGGGTAAATAGCGTGTTACAAGATTGACACTACTTGAACACGCATTTCAATGGTTCTGTAATATAACTGTCACATCAGGTTCGTTAGCGCGTCCGACCACACTATAATGCACGGAGATCAATAAAACACATGGCGAAGTGATACCCATGACTGAGCACCACTATTAACGTGCGTGCCTTTCTTGACATGCATAGTCATTATGTCTGTTTAAAAGGTTCAAATATCGGGTCTATGGGTCAGAGCGATAGGGAGTGTGTGTGTGTATGTGTGTGTGTGTGTGTGTGTGTGTGTGTGTGTGTGTGTGTGTGTGTGTGTGTGTGTGTGTGTGTGTGTGTGTTATATTCCTATTTGAAATCAAATAAAACAAGTATTTGACACAATCCAGCTTGATCATATAACCTTGGGAACATTGATAAGAAAGGTTTATCAGGTGACCCAAGTGAATTAAAGTCGAGGACCCTAATCTGGCCAGTCCCTGCTTCGAAACTACCCCCACAGTCACACGCTGGAAGGCGGTGAAAGAGGGAATAGTTCGGTTGCTCAACTAGTTTAACGTTCAGTACCAATCTCCCTAACTCTGGAGCAGAATGCTTCGAAAACCATGTAGGTAATCGGAAATCAACACTTCACTGACGTAATTGCTCAGAGAGTAGAGGTCAGTAAGCGGAGTGTCGATCATCTCTGCATGTAGCACAAGACTGGCCTCACAGTCTATCAAGTCATAACTTATGACAGTGCAGACACGCCCTATTCCCATAGGTGAGAATGATCTAAGCCCAAGAGAAAAACGTACCAAGACATTGATGACATCGATATCTTATATTAGGTACAAAACAAAACCGACCAAGGAAGGATTGCTTTATCTGGGAACACGGGCCGATGACAATTGCTGCGCCAAGACCAGGGGGCCGAATTGATGTAGACCTTCCATGTCTGTAACTGAGAGGTCCCTCAGGTAGTGTGAAGCAAACACCATATCTGATCGCCAAAAACAGCCCTCCATGATGGACTGCAGGGAACAATTTCTGTCAAGAGCATGGAGGCGGCAAGCATAAGGCTTCGCCGTCGACGGTGGAGGTAGGTCAGCAAAGGCATAAGCATGCAGGATCGTAGTTCGCATCCAAAACGCCAAGGTAGTACGGGAGACTTCCGAGGTGGAGGCAGTAGACAATGGAATGAACAATCTCTTACGCAGTCTGCGGCGATCCTGTGAGGCAGCTAGGTAAATCCTTAATGCATGCACCGGGCATAAGGACAGATCCTCAGCGTCATCTGGGCCCAAGATAGTGGATAACGGCGGAATCGTGAATGTGCGATCCGGCTGTCCTGGTTACTGATTTTGGCAAGAAAATCCCACCGCAAACCAAGGAAAACTTTCGCATGTCTAGACCTTTCAAGCCATACCCAAGAAACATCAAGAGCATGCAACTCAGAAATACGAGCAGCCGTAGCCAAGGCCAATAGAAAGAAGGTCTTAAAGGCCTGGAACACCTGAGGATGCAATTTCCATTCCATTGGAGAGGGACGACTCGGTCAGGACAGAGAATCTGCGATGACATTCTACACCCCCGGAAAGTGGGTGGCTCGTACCAAGATGTGGAGAGAGTCCACCAGATCGAAGAACCGTTGGATCCACTGCAGCAGTTGAGCAGACCCCGTGGACCCCATCCTGTTGATATGCCAAACCACCGCTGTGTTGTCCGACCGGATCATGAGGGAAGTTGCTCGTAGGATATCCTGCCAGTGACTGATTGCAAGCACCGCCCTGAACTCCAGAACGTTGATGTGACAGGCACGATCGATGGGAGACCACCGCCCTGCCACTAGTTGATTGAGAAGATGAGCTCCCCACCCGTGTAGAGACCCGTCCACATACAGGTGGTGAGACGGAACAAACGGCCCTAAACAAACTCCATCGCAAACATTCAATGCTTCCATCCACCATCGGAGATGGGTATGGAGCTGCAGAGGTAGAGTGATCAAGGCAACGGGATCTCTTACTCTGACGTAAGGCGCTAGAAAGAACTGCAAGGGACGAAGTTGTAGTTGACCCCTGAGGGTCAACGCCTGAGCCGACGTCAAGAGGCCCAGGAGCTCCTGCCACTGACTAAGCGTCCTGGGTTGCGCCAGTGCCAGAGAATCGCTGAATCTTGCAGAAACGATCTCTAGGGACAAAGAGTTTGTTGGCCTCTGTGTCGAACACTGCTCCAATGAATTGAAGATGGCGCGTAGGGGTTAGTTCTGATTTCTGCAGATTGATTAACTAGCCTAATTGGCAAAGAAGCTGTATTGCAAACTGCATGTGACAAAGCAGAAGGGCATGATCGGTCTGTGTCTGAATGCAGTCGTCGATGTAAGCTTCAAACACTATCCCCTTGCTGTGAAGGAAACAGGTGATAGGCTTCGATACCCATGTGAACAGCCACGGGGCCAAACAAATTCCAAACGGGAGGACACGCCACTGATAGTGAGTGCCCTCGAAGACAAACCGAAGGAACTTGCGATGAGCCGGGAAGATCGGGATGTGCAAGTACGCATCCTGGAGATCCAAACTGACCATGAAGTCTCCCGGCTTGATAATGGTCTTGAGGAGTGCCACCGATTCCATGCGAAAATGGGGCGGAGGCTGCAGAAACCTCTCGTTGAAAATCTTCATGTTGAAAATTAACCTCAGTTTGTCCGAATCCTTCTTAGGGACCAGAAAGATTGGAGAATAGAACCCCGGGGCGGTCTGAGCCGGACCTAGGGATTCGATCGCAAGTTTCTTGAGTAAGGTGTCTAAGGTGGATCGAAGAACCGCCGTCTGTTGAGCGGAATACGTTCTGCGATCCGGAAGTGAGAGGAGGATCCCCGATCAGAGGCAGCTGAAAACCCAGGGACAACATGGAGAGGACGAAGGGGTCTCCCAAGATGGTCCAGTTAGGAGCATAAGTCCCAAGCCGGTCGCCTACTGGAGAAGTCAGAATGGGCACGACTGGAGGTGGAAGAACCCAGTCGCCTGCTAATGTCCTCAAGTCACTGTTTGTCAGGTCTTTGCGAAGTGGGCTGGTCGGAAGCGGAAGCTGATCGTGAAGCAGTGGATGCCCGACGTGGATGGTTGAGTCGTCCTCTGCAAAAGGATCCCTTTCCACGAAAGGAAGCAGCAGAACCCGCATGAAAGTCCAGATTCACAGGGACATAACGGGCTGGCCGTCGCTGGCGCAACAATTCCTCCACCTGCAAACGCTGGAACTTCAACAATTCCACTGACACTTGTAAATGAGCATCTTGACCCACTCTGTTGGCGACATCTCTAACAGCCCCGTTGAAAAGTGATCTGCCAGACCATGGCTGCCGAAAGAGATCAGTACAGAACCAATCCTCCCAAGAGGATAAGTGAAAAGGTCCCCTGCGACGCACAGCTGTGATGTACGAAAAAAAGGGAGCCAACTGATCTAGAATGGTCTGGAATTGCTCTTGCAAAAAGACCATAGCTGCTCAAATATACGCTTGTTGATGGGACGTAGCATGCACAACCGACATAGCCACTGCTTCGGTAGTCGTCAGCACCATATTGAGTGGAGCCATAATCTTCCTTATGACGCCATCCAAATGCTCACGATCCTCAACCCAGGAACGGCGAGTAGGCTTTCTGTTTAGTTCCCAGCAATGTAATATCATCATCCACCGGAGGGGAGACGATTAGCGTAGAGAAACTATAAACATGAGCAGATGCTAAATTGAAGCGAGGAGCTGCGAACCCATCCTTAACCTTCCTCAGGTTACTCGATTGCCTCCAGAGAAGCTGCCAATAGTAATACACGGTCGAAGCAGGAATGTGATAGAGCCAAAGTCACCTGGCTTCATGTCAAAACTGGATAATAAAGCCGCCGACGAACTACTACGCTGTAAACGAAGGCTATCGGCAATCCAGACAAGTAGTTGAGGTGTGTCAACAGCATCCATGCTACCAGCGGATAGTGCCGTACCATGAGAAGAAGGAGATGGCGTCGTCAAACGATGAACATCCTCTAAAAGGGGAACTGGAGTAGTCGAAGGACCTGATGACTGATGCAGAGGAAGATGCTGGCACCTGCTGTCGTAATGCTGACACTACCGGTAGCACAATAGCATCAAAGTCGAGAGGTTGAGAACTCGAATCCTCAGACCCAAGATTCCAAGATACCAGTAAAATGGGTCTGGCCACCGATCCCGTTGTAGTAGGAACCGACGAAACAGAAGCAGACACCGAGAGATGACGAGGCACCTCACTAAGAGAAGACGGACCTCCTCCAGCAGACTGAGACACACACCGATGAGGCAACGATGAAGCCGTAAGGTCCCGGCCATTAACAGCAAAAGTTGAGCTGAGCGGACCCAGCGCCGAGCTAGACACATGAGAGGTGAGCGCTGAACCCTGAGGGTAGCACCAAACCAAACGCCCCTTGAGTCAACCTTGAAGCCAGTGAACTATGAGACAGCGCCAAACCAGGAACAATATGCGTAAGCGCTGAAGCGGGAGTACAATGAGTAATCATGTGATCGGCAACAATCGGCGCTCTACCCACAGGTACCTGTCCTGAAGTAAGCGGTGCTTGAGAGGTAAGCGGCGCACTAGAATAACGTAGTGGCCCATAACCAAACAGTACAGGATACGGGATAGAAGTGGAAAAAGGTACTCTGGGAACCATCAACACACTTGAGAAAGCGCCGCATCAAAACTATCTCCTGTACCCAAAGCAAGTGACACATTCTACGCAAGCACCGAATGGGAAACTGACGTAGTAAAACCACCGAAGTGGAAAGCGCCGCACTGCAAGTAAGTGTCACTTGAGATGTAATGCTAGGAATCACACCAAGCGCCGCACAAGAAACCCCACCTCAGGACCCAAAGTGCACTGAGGGATAGTTATCACCGAAGATGGATGGGGCTGAAGAGAAGATGGAGATCACACGACAACCCTAGGTGGAGAAGAGTCTTCTAAAGTGATGGGGTTAAAGGCATGCGGTCGGAAAAGTTGCCGTAAGTTTTTTCACTGAGGTAAGAATCCGAATTAGAATTAGAAATAGAAATGGTACCCTGGTACTTTTCAGTGACTGAGTTTTGCATTTGACAGCAAAGACTGAAATCATAAATTCATAATAATAATAATCATAATAATGTAGCATTCATCAGTCCTTTAATGTTTGTATGATGCTGCACCTTTCTTTTTAATTGACTCTGCATTATAATTAACATCCCAGACTACTCCAGCTGTACCATAAACTAGGTCACCAAGACTAACTACCTCCTGGTCACCTGACTCAACATAGGGATTTTTTCCTTGGGATCTATTTTCACCTATAGATCCAGCACTGTTGTATGACATGGGATAACAAATGTGCCCACTTGCCTAACTAAATGCTAACTCTAAAAATTCAACAGTGCCCCTGCATACAGTTCAGATTGCTCCTCTTCACAGCAAGAATGGGCATCAACTGAATTCCAAGCTTTTCCTCAACAAACTGTTGATCTGGACTGGGGGGCAACCAAACATGGGATGGTATGGTGAACAACCTGTTATTTATACACACAAACATTTGTTTTTAATGCCATAATATAAATAATAACTGCATCCATGTGTTGATGTTTTGTGAGTTACCATGAAGGGATGCACAAAATAGACATAGATGTTGACTTTTAACTTAAAAATGCCTTATTTGACAATTGAGGTTAAAATGTAACATCAAAACAGAAAAGTCTAACTACAGTATATAACATTGCCAAAAAGGAGCATACCTATGAAATACACAATGCCATTTTAGAAAGTGGTCAAATGTAACATATGTTATATTTGGGATTACACTTTCTTAGTAATGTACAAATTCTTGTACTTTTTGGGTCGAGTCCCATCCGGGATTCGAACCCGCACCCTCAGAGTCAGGCACCTAATCGCCAGCACACAAAGTCAGACGCCTAGACCGCTCAGCCACCGCGGCTTGTGGAAGCCGCGGTGGCTGGCTCTAATCTAGGCGTCTTGAAGCCGCGGTGGTGATTCACTCAATGGAAAATAACAAATACATCTTCAGCCATGCATGTGCAAATGAAACTAGCAAAATATCTCTATAATCCTAACAAAAGTGGGGTCAATTGTCTGATTGTGACTATGGCATAAAGTGTTCATGAATTACTACCAGTTTGTGGTGGTACCAACGGTTCACAGAAAGCTGAGCCTATATCGCCTGACCAGTGAGTGGGAACCTGCAAGTCCAATACATCTGTTCTGTGTTTGTGGCTCTGCCCTAACGTTGATATGTTCCAACTTACACCAACAATAATTTCCTTCATATCAAGCATCAGGAAGATGCCTTTACATCTGTGACCTTAACCATGGACATGACCTTTATAGATTACATATCATATTTCAGATCACATATATATTATTTGTTATTTATCTCCTACTCTTCCCTGATATTAGGGATGGTGAGTTAAGACTTATGACAATTTTTGTTCCTAATTCAATGCATAATTGGTAGTGTTGGCAATTGGTTAAAATTGATCATTGGTCCATTACAACCGATCAATCATCGAAAATAATTGGTTAGCATCATTTATCAAATGTTCCTGTTACCTTTGTTAATGCACAAAATAATTTACAAAAAAAACCATGTAGCTCTTTGGATTTTGAGGCAAATTGCACAAAATGCATTTTCATATTTCACATATTTAAAGGATGGCTAGTATGTGAGGAACATAAATTTCCAGGAGTTTTTAAGATAAATTCAATCATGACTTGGAACAAGCTTGTAGTGCTTATGAAATGTAAATATAATGACTCAGACAAACCAACCTTGTGAACAAATATTGTTAATACAAACAAGTGTTCCAAAACTGCTTGTGTTCGATTATGAGAAAACATTTTCGATTGCTTGGTCATTTAGTCACTGCGACCAATCTTCGATTATTTCAATTAATAAGACCACCACTTATAATTGGTTGACTGCTCACTTAAACTCAGAGCCTTGGTCACATTGTGGTATTCTTGGATTTCCCCAAGGTTCAATGGTACCTCATATGTTTGTTTCTATTTTATCTAACATTATGTGATAATTTAATAATGTTATATAATTTATTGAGTCCTCATCAGCATTAAGGTTCTTCTTGAGACTTTATTTGGGTAAACATACTGACAGTATGGTACAATGAACATATCACTGCACAATAGATTAAATAACATAATAAACACATATGAAACAAATAAACAGTCACTGAACACTATATTAATGCACACCATTATTAACATACCATATCAAGATGTAATCACACCCAAATAATTCAGCTGCTGCCTATTATGATTATGAATTACGGCAAATGAGCCACTAACATGACTAACAATTATCTTCAAACGAAGAAACTTGGGTTTGGTAGAGTCCGACTTCCCTCTGTTTAGGTCCAATTCCAATTCCCGAAGACAAAGGCGTAAGTCGTCGAAGCTAGTAAAGGTGTCATATTTGTATGCAGCTAAACTCTTGAGAGAAGGTGAAAGTCCATCCCATATCTTGCTCCTTAACATTTCATCCTGTTCATCAGTTGGTATGAATTTCTGTTCCGCCAAAGGATAAAGTAATCGTTCAAGACGACAACTCCAAGTTGAAATGTCTTCGTTGTCTCCTTGACTTGCACTGTAGAACTGTAGAACATGAGGGTTG